TTGATTCAAAAATTACATATTTCTAAATATTTAATTAATATGATTAATAAATTTTTATAATAAACACTTTGATTATGCATCTGTCCGTCTCCTATGGAGAGGTTGTATCTAATTATTTATTTAATTAATATAAAAATTCTTTAACAAGTATGGTATTAAATTTAATTAAAGTTATTTATAAATATAAATTTCCACATTGTTTAAGTTGTTAAAAATATATATATTTAGTGACCACAACTATATCAGCTTTAATAATAGCTTAATTGAATGAAACTAACTATAGAATTATTAGCAAAATGTTTGTAATAAAATATTTATTGTTGTTTTTATTGATCAACATGTTCAAACCTGCCATAACCGAACCGTATGTATGCAATTTTAAACACTACATTCAAGCATTTGATTTAAGTAAATAAGTTAATTTTTATTTTCATAATTTTCATAAATTTCATTTAATGATGATACTGGTTATAATAATGGCTCAACTCATAGACCCTTAAATCATGGTCCTAATTATCTGCCTGTAAATGATGGTAAATCTGATCGGCCATTAATTATACGCCCAAACAATGCGAGTAAACAATTAAGTGATCGACTTTTGGAAGCGGTTGAGGACTCGTTGCCGGAGATGTTTACCACTGATTACGTCCAGAAGATACTAATGAAGGGAGAAATGAGTGATCAAAACATATTATTCGGTCGCGACTTCTGGAAGAGAAACAATGATATGATTGCGAGTGAGTATTGATAGAGAATTGTTGATTATATTATTGTATAGCAATTCTACGAGTTTTAACAGTATAAAAAAAATTTAAATTTAATATTACAGTAGTTATTTTTAAAATATTTTATTTCAAACGTGATTTTATTAATCATTCAATTATTTGTCGAAAGTTTTTATTTGTTTTTATATTAATACAATATAAAATAAATCTTGTATTTTTTGCATAAATATATAGTTCGTTTTGAGTTAATGAAAACGTGTCTATCGGTGGCCACCAATCATCAGAGACAGCAAATACTGAAATGGATGGTCAGGACTATGGCATCGGGTTTACCAAATATTACACAATTTTACGCCAGATTTGAGCAATTATTGGGCGGCATTGGCGACGATATAACGCTCCGGGCAATGGACTCGACGGCCATTGAATATAAACAACTAGTTTATCGCGAATTACAACGTGGTACGATAATCGGCATGTGGTATATATTAACGTTACCCGTTTGGCAAACGCAACACTTACGGCATTATCTAAAAAATCAACCTCAATATCGGCCCTCAAATTTGTCTAACTATATGTTATTTATGGAGTTTAATGGTATCGATGGTAACGTTTCGTTGGAGGCGTATAAGAGGGTCATTGATGTAAAGCAACCTAATGTATCGGCTCACGAACACCAAAAATTGACCAGGTTTGCTAAAGTTGCCATACAATTGAGCGACAAATATTATTATCAACCCAGAAGCCTTGTCCCCACATATTGGCCCATAACCACAGTATCTGCCGATTGGAATACAAGTATATATTTTGATCCTAACGTCAAACAACTAAGCGATCAATTGTTTGAACCTTTGGTCCAATTGTCGCCCAAAACTGCCGCATCCGATGACATCCAGACGTTGCTTACGAACCCAGAAATGAGTGATCAAAACGTACGGTTCGGTCGCAATCTATTGATGAGAACCAAAGCGCGATTTATGAGTGAGTAGTGATTATTGAAATATTACTAAATACGTAAAAAAATACGTTATATATTGGTTTACCAAATTATTGTACAAGTAACTTTATATTTTCATACGATAAACAAGTATTATGTAATGTGTAGTGTATATTTTTACAGAATTATATCATTTTATCTACTCTATTAGTTATAGCAAAAACACCATGATAAAAATTAGTTACCTTTTTAATAGAATTAAAAACGATTGTAATAAAATATTAATTTAATCATGCATTATTTACATAAACACATAGTCCGTTTTGAAATTCTAATACAATGTCTATCGTTGGCCACCGACGATAAAACACGTCAAATACTAAACGGTGTTATCAAGTATTTGGGGCCAAGAATTCCACAATATTTTGACAAATTTGAGCATCAATTGGGTGGCGTTGGGAACGATGTCAGGTACCGGGCAATGAATCCGACCATCATTGAATATCAGCTATTGGTTTACCGCGAAATGCAACGTGGTTCATTAGTGCGCATGATGCTGCTGCTAATGTTGCCCATTTGGCGCCAGCAGATAGTAAGGCAGTATCTTAAAAGTCAGCCCCGGTATGAGTCCACCCCGTTGTCCGACTTAATCCTATTTACGGACCCAAACGAGCAAATGCTTGTGAATGCCTATAAGAATGTGATTAATTTAAACGCAGTCAACACAACGGCCGGTGAAGTGCGCCAATTGAGACAATTAGTCAATGAAGTAACCAATAAGTGGACGAGAAATGCGGCACCACTTGATCGACCCTTGGTTTTATTCAATGATGCTTTACCTGAACTTTATGGTCATAATAATGGCTCGACTAATCGACCCTTAAGTCCTGTCCCTGATTATGTACCTGTAATAAAGGATTAAGCCAATATACCATCAAAATAATAAGTAGTATTTGTTAGTAAACTGCTTTATAAAAATAATAAAATATTATTAACTTTAATACTTTTATATTTATTATTTATCAATATATTAAATAGCATTTTATTTTAATTCCTTTTATTTCTAAAACATATATTTGATTTAATTTGATATTGAGTTAGAAGTTAGCAAAGAGAGCGGTCATCACCAAATATTGCAAACATTTTAAATTTACATTATTACATTATTCTGATATTTATTCGCATTGTAAATGATCTTGATGGCAGGTTTTGCCAGTGGAACACTTGGTCACGTGCCCATATCAGGATCTTTCTCGCACTTGTAATACTGGTGTGGATTTCATATACCGCACGGCGTTTCGTAGGGAGTATAACCCGTTTGCGAGCAATTTTTATCCACATCCTCTTTGGTTAATTAAAATTAACTTTACCATTTTTCAACCAGGTATTTTTGTTATGTTAAATAAAATAAACAAATCTATGTACATCAATAGTAATTTTTATCATTTTATACCATAGGCTTTTACAATATACTGGTGTAGACATGTGTTTTCAAAATTAATTTATTTAATGATTAACTATTATTAGGGAAAATAAAATTGTACCAAGATTATTTTACAGTTATTAATTGCTTTATGGCAAATCCATTAAACAAGCATTTTAATTATAAAGATAATTAATTTATTCTGTTTTATTGCAATGAATTATATTATATTTATTAATTTTAAATTCTAAAAAATTTACATTTTTTAAATCTTCAACAAAGTAATAGAAAAATAGCATTAAGTAAAGCTTTATATAAACTCGGTCATACATAATTATTTATTTATTCTGAATTATTTATTTAATTATTATATTTAAAATTAAATACTATACAATAACTATCTACAAATTATTTATTACTTTCCAAATGTGTTATATGGAGTACGTTAAATGATAAATAATAATGCTCCAACTAGATTAATCAAATCAAAATATCCTGTTCATAAACAGTATTTTTAAACAGAAAATATTTTCATGTAACAGTGTTTTTGCTAATCTCATGCAATTCAATCAATCAGATGTTCCGTAAATGTGCCCTGGTCATGTCTTATCAACATGGTGTATTACTAGATTTAAAGCACAGCAGATAACGGGCTTATTTTACTTGTAAACATGGTTACTGTATATGTAATATTTTAAAATAAACTTAACACAATGGTAGCATGATTAATCAAAAATATGATCAGTGGCACATTTATGGAACATGTAATCTAATTAATTGCTTTAGACTAACAAAACTATAATTGTTATAACAATGCGTTGTTTAACACATACATAGTTTACTATAAAAGCCGTGTCTATCAATCGATATGTTATTATTATTGTTTTCATTAAATAAAAGTAACATTGATTTCAATATAAAGTAATACATTATTTAAGTATTCAATTAAAGAAAATGTCGAAACTATTACTACTTTCATTATTAGTGGTGTCCATCGCTATAATCCAGGGTATGAGTAGTTTATGATATTTATTATTATTTCTAATATATATTTTAAAATTAAATATATAAATAATTCTGTAGCCAAGATCGATGTGAACAAACTGTGCTCCGAAACGGGATACACGCCATACGAAACACCGGATGGCGTAACCAATCCTAACGAGTATTACAGATGCGAGAAAGACCCGTACGGGGGCTGGAAGTTGCACGTGATGAAATGCTCACCTGGTCAAATCTGGCATCAGGAGCACGTGGCATGCGAATAGACTAATTGCATATCTTTGTAATTTAATTGTTGTAATTAATGTTAAAAATTTATTATTAAGCATTTATTAAATAATTATTTGTTAAATAAAATAAATTTCAAAAGTGAACGGCAAAATATTAGAATAACTAAATTGGTAATGCCTTTTAAACATATTACAGTAATTGTAATTGAGTAAAAGTAATTTATTTTTTACCGTTTATAAAGATTAAAATAATTGTCAAGTTATTATTAAACTAGATTATTGGGGACTATTTTACGTTGGCAACATTACATCGACATACTTAGATTAATAGAGAGCAGTGATAAGATATATATAACGTGTTATTTAAATGTTATCACTTATATTAATGCTATAAGTTTTTCTAAAATATTTTAATTATAACCTTAAATACAGTAGTAATACCCATAATTAGTTAATACAATTACACCCGTTTTATTGTGATTGCATTAATATTTACTTTATATCAAATTTTAGTCAATTTGCCCACAATTTGTCCAAGAGTTTATTATTTGTATAAGGAATAATTCCAAAAATATTTATTAAGCTTATTTTAAATAACAAATTGATAAACAGAGAGTTTATAACAATAAGATAATTTTCATATCGAACCAATTAAAATAGTTTTGTTATCCAAACACATAATCACTTTAAGGTACAGTATATAAACTATGCGTACAAACATTATTTGTACTACAAACTATGATACAGTATTAACTTCAGTATAATCCGTCTAGTAACATCTATAATTATGACTCACCTTAAACTATTAATATGCATCGCAGCCGTGTTGACCATGTCATGCATGGCCAGGGATGACAGTCAGGCGTTGACAGCACCCATGGGTTGGCTATCGTGGACTCGCTATGCCTGCGAAACCGACTGCAAACGGTATCCCAAGGGCTGTATCGACGAACACCTGTACAGAGCGCAGGCGGACGCTATGGCCGCCGACGGGTACAGAGAGTTGGGCTATAATTATATCAATATTGACGACTGTTGGAGCGAAATGGAAAGGGATGCCCAAACGCACCGCTTGGTGGCCAACAAACAACGTTTCCCAAGTGGTATGAAAGCGTTGGCGGATTATGTCCACTCCAAGGGACTCAAGTTAGGCATTTACGGCGATGTGGGGCCTAAAACATGCGCCGGGTATGTGTGCTATGCCTTATGTAACACAACTATGCAATCTAGTTTGTTTAGAGGTTGAGAGAGAGAGAGAGAGAGAGAGAGAGAGAGAGAGATTGTATGAAAATATATTAATATTGCAGTGTAAACACAGATATCCGGCACAAAATGGTGTGAATGGTAGCAATTATTTCGCTTTGGACGCCAAGACCTTTGCCGAGTGGGGTATCGACTCATTCAAGTTTGACGGTTGTAATGAAGACGCGCATCATTTTGACGATCTCTTTCCCAAAATGGGTAAAGCGCTCAACGAATCCGGTATTTATTGTTTTTGACAATTTTATTTATCTAGATAATAATAATTTTCTACCAGTATTCATGTGATTTATCTGAAACTTTATTAAAAAGTAGATAAGTTTTATAAATTTTTAATAGATAAATTTTAATTGAAACTATTTTTAATGAAGGTCGCCATATACTATACATATGCGAGTGGCCATACTATCAATTCCAACACAAAGATATCAAGATTAATTATCAAGCAATCGCCGATACGTGTCACGTGTTTAGAAACTATAACGATATTTGGCAGAATTGGCCCTCCATTGAAAACATTATTAACTTTTACGGCGATAACTATGATTTATTTGACAAACATCACGGTCTGTATTACTAAATATAAAGTACATTAAAGTATTAATATTTTAAGATATCTATAATAAATACTTAATGAAAAGTTTGCTATTATTTGTTCTAGGTCCCGGACATTTCTTTGACCCAGGTTAGAATTATTTTAATGATATACAAAAATAACTATCTAATCTAAATATACCATAGATATGGTAGTGGTTGGTGACTACGGTATGTCACACGAACAAAGTCGCACCCAATTCGCGCTGTGGGCCATGTTTTCTGCGCCATTGTTTTTGTCCAACGATTTGCGCGACATTTCGCCCGAAGACAAGAAAATACTACAAAATAAGGCCATTATTGCAGTAAATCAGGACAAAAATGCATTTATGGCCAAACGTGTATATAAAGTAATTATTTTTACATTTTTAAAAATTGGACACATAATGATTTGAGCATAGCATGGTTGTTATATTTATAATAACTATCAGTTTTATTAGGACATTGTTAAGTCTATGAAAGTTTTATAATTTATTTACCATCGTAATTATTTGTAGATTACATTAATTATAATCATTATTCTCTTACAATTATTATTGTTGTTCTCAATTTATTCTCAATTTATTCTTTATATTAACTGTTAATAAATTGTGTACAGGCAAACTGGGACCAGGCATGGGCAAAACGGGTTGAGCCCAAAGTAAATGGACAATGGTCGTACGCCATACTCTATATTGACACAAACGGTATTGGTGAAAAACATTACGTAAGTATGAATTTAATAAGAATAATAAAATTATTGCAATTTTATAATTTCATGTAATTTATTTTATTTTATTTTAAAATAACAATAATAATAATACAATTGTAATTTACGTAGAGATCACATAAGGTGTCCGAATTGATTCCAGAGGCAAAACCCGGTACTGAATACGTGGTTCACGACCTATACCTCGATGAGGGCAAAGAGATTTTGGGTACACTTAAAGCGGCCGATAATCTCGAGTTATTAGTGAAAACGGGCGGCTCGTGTCGTATGGTTAAACTCGTGCCTAAAAAATAATTCTATACATTTTGGAACATGCTATTATTCTTTAAAACAATAAAAATTTAATAAAATATTGTAACTTGTTGTTGGCACATTATTTTACATCAGAATTGGGTTAGATACCTTGTATTAGTATAACTGATATATCTTTGCCTTCGTATAGATTTAATAGAGATATCTTAACGAAATTAATTTTATAATTTAAGGTAACATTCCTAGGCACCAGAAATCAAGTTTCATCAAGATCGGATGATTTATTAGTATAACTGATATATCTTTGCCTTCGTATAGATTTAATAGAGATATCTTAACGAAATTAATTTCATAATTTAAGGTAACATTCCTAGGCACCAGAAATCAAGTTTCATCAAGATCGGATGATTGGTCTTTATACTGGAAATTTTTAACCGAGGTCAGGCAGAATAATGTATTCCTATGGGAAGGGGTCTGTTTTTGTGATTACCGACGCTTGAAATCTCATGTAAATTGATCATGCTCAAACAATAATAGAGATAATAGAAAATCCCTACTCTTCCAATATGGTCAATATCTTATGTATAGAATCAAATCATATTCAATGTCCAACTCTGTCCGGTGCCTGAACTGTGGCCACTTAATTATCGGTAGTCGACCCGATTGGCGGCCTGTGTTCGGTCGGTTCGCATTTGGTTCCCGTTATAAATAATGTTGTGATAACTGCTCTAAACTGTTGTCGGATAACCAATAGTAAACCCCAATAACCAAATAATAACTCCAAACATTTTTATTGTAAAAATATTTTCAATCTAAAAATATGTTTATTTTCGGTAATATATTTTGGGCTAAATTTTAAAGAATAATTCTGACTGACACACTTTAAAAATTTCCAGTATACAGACCAATCATCCGATCTTTACGAAACTTGGTTTCTGGTGCCTAGGAATGTTACTTTAAATTATAAAATTAATTTCGTTAAGATACCTCTATTAAATGTATACGAAGGCAAAGATATATCAGTTATACCAATATATATTACCTAACTTTTGTGAATGTAAAACAAATGAAATAAAATATATATTTGAGATAAAACACATTAAACATAATATGTAATTATATTAACACGTAAGCAAATTACATATAATGTATGCATAATAGTACAGTATACTGCAAAGGTAACCTTGTATGTTCTGCTTACGTAATCAAAACTGCATGAATACAACTATACTAAATATTTGCATACAATTAGCTCATGTTTACCTTATTACCCCTCACCCAGTCCCAATCACTCCTGTGATTGAGGTTTTAGTTAATATATTTTTTTGTATTATCTAATCATTTTCTTAAATAACTAACGATTACTTGATCGTTCTTCCTAGGGATTTACTGTCGTCTTATTAAATTATTTAATACTCAATATTGGATTATGCTTATAATTGGGCGCCTATTACATAAAATATAATGGTATTTATCATAATATAATAAGGGTAAACATTTTTCATTAATTCAGAGTATTTCTCTTAAACCCGGGTCATTATAATCATCTCTATTACTCACAAAAATAGAGGGTAATCTTATCATTTAAATTAAAGTTTATTCATTACTCATTTGCCGATTCGTGTCGGCACTCCCTAGCAAAGTGCCCAATTTCTCCACAATTGAAACACTCAATGTACTCTTGTCCATCATGTTCTTCCAAATGGACGTAGTCCTCGTGGTCCTCTTGGTCATGATGGCTTGTGTGATCAGTCTCTCGGTCAGTTGACTCATTAACCGTCATAGATGCCATTTCCAACCTGAGTTCCTTTATCTGATTTCTCAAACTTTTGATTTCATAATTAAATCTACTGAATGGCATGGATATGTCTTCTCTGCTATAGACTGCTGGTGTTTCAACATACTTTTCTTTGTCTTTCTGTTTGCTTTTATAAACTCCATATCATCAATGGATTTGATTAAACATTTAAGTTCCAAAACATTTTCTGGTGGCCGTTGAATCCAATTCTTCATTACTTTAGCTTTTAGTTCATCGTTTAAACCGTTAACCAACATAACCATTATCTGCTTTTCGCTGAGTTGTGGAGAGCATAGCATTATTATACGCTGCTTGTCTTCCAAATATAAATCTACACTTCCATTTTGTTTTGTATTCAAAATACAATCTGTTAGCAAAAGATCGTGCAAACTGTTTGTGAATCGGGAGATAATGGCTCTTTTGAATGAAGCCCAGTCCGTAAATGCGTTAGCATTTAAACTATTAAGATACCATAATTGTGCCCCTCCTTTTAGTGATCCAATTACTTGTAATAGCTTTATATGATTGTCCCAACCATTACTTTCTGCAATAGTTTCGTAGTGTTTACGGTATGTGTTATACGTCTGGGCGATCACTTACAATGTGGACAACTTTTCAAATAATTATTAACATTTTAGCACATCTTTTACATTACTAATTACTAATATAATATATGAATATTATTTGCCAACAATTATTAAATTGAAATATTTATTTTCTATTATCTTTAACATTAAAACAACACAATTAACATAGTAAAACATTATACATGGACATCACATTACAGTTACACATATCTAGGGTTGTGATACTCGGTAAATTACAATTTTACCGTGGTAATTTACATGTAAATTACCATGTTTTCTCAATCTTACACGTAAATTACAACATTCAAACACGTGACTTGTCAAAATAGAAAGAAATTTTGGTATTAGTTATATATAAAATGCCAATAATTGATAAATCACGAAAAACTTTTATTTATAAAATCAATTATTATTGGATTTATAATAAAAATTGATATAAATGGTAGATAATAAAGCCTCTATTAAGAATAAACAACAAGCAAAATTGCTTTTAATTATTCTTTTGTTTCAAAAGTTATTAAAAATCCGAACTTAATTGCAATTCTGATAGTAATTCTGTAGATTTTAATCATATTACAAGTGATATCTATCGTCATTAGATATATAATTAATATTCCATAAAGAATTAAACATTAATTCTATTAATTTGTATAAAATTACCAATTTTACCGAATATTACCGTAAATTACCAAATATAATCTGTAATGTAAAATTGAAATGAATATTACCGGTAAAGTAACAACCCTAGTCATATCAGTAGAAATATCAATAGTTAATATTAATACTAATCCCTTTACTTATTAAAAACCATAACGTGTAATGCTTTTTCTAAGAAGCCCATAAATAACTAGCGTTACACATATGTACACTGGGGGACAGGTATACAATATGTTACAGGAGTTTGTGAGCAAATCAAAGCAAGAGTTCACGTGTTTTCAAACACACCATAACTGCCATTCATATCAATGCCAGTCATTTGTAGACAACAATCACAACAATTACTGGCATTTGTTTACCGCACCCGACGTGATCTAACCTAACGAGAGAGAGAGAGAGAGAGAGAGAGGGAGAGAGAGAGAGAATAGTTTTTAATAAGCATTAAGTGTTAAAACCATTGAACATTAAATACAGTACAACATTACTAAGGTTGGCAATATGACAAACCATATATAGTGAATGTATTTTTTTCTGAGCCTAGCTCTCTAGCATTGACAGTGCATCACTCATATGTGTGGCTACTCACTCACCACTGCTCAGCAGTGCTGTAGTATACATCTACATGTATTGCATAAGGCAACAAAAATAATTCGAACAGTTTATTTTTGTGGCCCCATTGACCACACGAACGGTGCGAGTGTTTGGTCGCCAATCGTCGGCCCCATTCACCACACGAACGGTGCGTTGGGTCTCGATGTTCATTTGCCTGAGTCTAATAAAGGTAAGCAACTTACTAGGGCTCAGGCAAATAAGACGCGGTTCGTAACAAAGTGTCGGTATATTGTATAGGCCAGAAATAGTCACCTCAAAACATGTTTCCGAGACTTTAATCGAGTTTGGTCTAATAAATCTCTCCCTCACATGATGAAAGACTTCAGAATTGTCTGTACAATATGTCCACAACATTGGTACATATTCTCTTACACATGCGTATTGTTTAACTACAAAAAGCTACCACTGTGCACGATATGTCCCATTATATAATGGTGCCACGATGCACATAACGCTCACATTATTTATGGTGCCTCCATGCATTACATATTCTCTTACACATGCGTATTGTTTAACTACAAAAAGCTACCACTGTGCACGATATGTCCCATTATATAATGGTGCCACGATGCACATAACGCTCACATTATTTATGGTGCCTCCATGCACGTTACGTAATTTATTAACAGTGCACAATAGGGGTTAATAAACCTCAACATTAATTATTTTGCGCTAAATCAATAATATGTAATTGTAATTGAGTAAAAGTAATTTATTTTTTACCGTTTATAAAGATTAAAATAATTGTCAAGTTATTATTAAACTAGATTATTGGGGACTATTTTACGTTGGCAACATTACATCGACATACTTAAATTAATAGAGAGCAGTGATAAGATATATATAACGTGTTATTTAAATGTTATCACTTATACTAAATGCTATAAAGTTTTTCTAAAATATTTTAATTATAACCTTAAATACAGTACTAATATCCATAATTAGTTAATACGATTACACCCGTGTTATTGTAATTACATTAATATTTATATCTAATTTTAGCCAATTTGCCCACAATTTGTCCAAGAGTTTATTACTTGTATAAGGAATAATTCCAAAAATATTTATTAAGCTCATTTTAAATAACAAATTGATAAACAGAGAGTTTGTAACAATAAGATAATTTTCATATCGAACCAATTAAAATAGTTTTATTATCCATACACACAATCACTTTAAGGTACAGTATATAAAGTATGTGCAAACTATAATACAGTATTAAGTTCACTATAATCCGTCTAGTAACATCTAAAATTATGACTCACATTAAACTATTGGTGTGCATCGCAGCCGTGGTGACCATGTCATGCATGGCCAGGGATGACGGTCAGGCGCTGACACCGCCCATGGGTTGGCTATCGTGGACTCGCTATGCGTGCGAAACCGACTGCAAACGCTATCCCAAGGGCTGTATCGACGAACACCTGTACAGAGCGCAGGCGGACGCTATGGCCGCCGACGGGTACAGAGAGTTGGGCTATAATTATATCAATATTGACGACTGTTGGAGCGAAATGGAAAGGG